CATCTGCTCGTGCTGATGCTGCTGCTGTTGCTGCTGCTGCTGTTGCTGCTAATCTAAGGGACTTGAGGGCAGCAGCAACTGCTGTTGCTGCTGCATGCAGTGCTGCATGCAGCGCGGGGTCAGGGAGGGAGAGAGCAGCAGATAAATAAAAAGAAGACGCCAAGTCCTGAGATGCACGTACACCGCAGCAGCAGCAGCAGCAGCAAGAGCAACATAAGCAGCAGCAGCAGCAGCACAACAAGATGAGGATGATCCGCTGGGCATGCAGCAGCAGCAGCAGCAGCACAGGCAGCAGCAGAAGCAGCAGCAGCGGCTGAATTACCTCAATGTGCTCTATCGACAAGGCAGCTGTGTCTTGTTGCTGTTGCTGCCCCTGTTGCTGCTGCTGCTGCTGTTGTTGTTGTTGCTGCTGCTGCTGCAGTGCAGCAGTAACGTCATGCTGTATCTGCTGCAGCCGCAGCAGCAGCAACTTGTTGCATGCATGCAGAGTCTTCCAGTTGCTGCTGCTCTGTGTTGCTGTCTTCCATACAAAATCTAAATCTACTGCTGCTCCTGCTGCTCCTGCTGCTGCTGCTTCTGCTGCTGCTGCTTCTGCTGCTGCTGCTTCTGCTGCTGCTTCTGCTGATGTCTCTGCATCTCCTGCTGCTGCTGCTACTGTGTCTATTGGTCCTACTTCTACTGTCCCTGTGGATGCTGCTGCTGCAGCTGCTGCATCCTCGGATGCTGCTGCTGCTGCTGCTCCAGCTGCTCCTGCTGCTGCCGGTTGTCGTGGCGCTGCTGCTGTTGCTGTTGCTGCTGCTGCCGCCGTTGCTGCTGCTGCTGCTGGCGCTAGAGCCGCCTCAGCAGCAATACTAAGTGATCTTCTCTGAGTCACAGAGAACACCCATGAACCCCTGTTGCTGCTGCTGCTGCTGCTGCTACTGCTACTGCTGCTGCTGCTGCTGCTGCTGCTCCTATTGCTGCTGTTGCTGCATCTGGTAGCTTGTAGGTGTAACAGCCTGCAGCAACAAGGTCGCATGCAACCCCTCCTAAGGGCCCCAAAGACAACACCTTGCTGCAGCTGCTGCAGCTGCTGCTGCAGCAGCAGCATCGAAGCTGTCATAGCCCGAAGGACAGCAGCAGCAGCAGAAGCAGCAGCAGCAGCAAGAGCAGCAGGAAGTTTCTTTATTTCAGGTGTATATACACCACAAAAAAAAGAAAAAAAGAAAAAAATTAAGAAAATAAATCTGTTATACAAACAAATATAAAAATCTGAATACCAGCCGGTACTGACGACAACCCTAAACCCTAAACCCTAAACCCTAAACACTAAACCCTAAACCCTAAACTTAAATGTGTATTTAGGGGGAAATAAATTTGAATTAAAGGATTAAGGGTTTGGGGTTTAGCAACAATCGGTTGCTATGCACAGATCGTCTTCTACCACGGAAGCCCTAAACCCTAAACCCTAAACCCTAAACACCAAACCCTAAACTCTAGAGTCTAGATACTAAACCCTAAACCGTAAACCCTAAACCCTAATCTTTATACAATAAAGTTTCATTATATAAGAGGCTTAAATGTCTCTTTTAATATTATCATGGCTAAGCGCTGCCGACCCACAAACCCTAGCAAGGAGTCGGGCTAAACCCTAAACCCTAAACCCTAAACCCTAACTATAACCCCTAGAGAAAACCCTGAAATCTATATTCCAAAATGTACTTTTAAACCCTAAACCCTAAATATACTCGACCTTGGCCATAAACCCTAAACCCTCGATTGAATCGGTCCCGCCTATAAACCCTAGTATCTAGGTATACTCGATCTCGCCTCTAAACCCTAAACCCTAAACCCTAAACACTAAATTCGTACAGTTGTACTGCAGAAGTACAGCATTCGATTAAACACCTACAATTATGTACTAAACCCTAAACCCTAAACCCTAAACCCTAATTACTAAACACTAGCAGCCTCTATAAATCCCAAACAACCGAATTAAATAGGCTGTTGTTGCTGCTGCAGCAACTGCAGCAGCAGCAAATAAAGCAACAGTTAATAGCTGCAGCAGCAGTGAATAATAGTTGCAGCAGCAGCAGCTGCTGCTGCTGCTACAACTGCAGCAAATGCAGCAAATGCTGCTATATCAGCAGCAATTGCTGCCTCCATTGGTATAAACATTCTAATCATATAATATTCACCCTCCTCCAAACCCTAAACCCTAAACCCTCATAAACCCTAAACCCTAAACCCTAAACCCTACAGTAGTATAGGAATTTCTGTTTCTTTACAAAGAAGATTTCCCAACGCTTTGAGTTTTTCTACGCCGCGAATTTCATCCGATTGTTGACCCACGCAGGCTGCTCACAAACCCTAAACCCTAAACCCTAAACCCTAAACCCTAAACCCTAAATCATAAACCCTAAACCCTAAACCCTAAACTCCAAATCCAAAATTATAAACCCTAAACCCTAAAATCATAATCCAGGGAATCTTAAACCCTCTATAGATTCTAAACCCCAAACCAGTAAACCCTAAACCCTAAACCCTAGACCCTAGACCCTAAACCCTAGACGTACCAACATGGAAGTCGTAAGTATACAACTCTTTTATTTGCAACAAGTACTTCGATTGCATGCGACGTCTAGCAGCATACGATTGCTCAACAAGCAGCAGCTGCAGCAGCAGCAGCAGCAGCAGCACAGCAGCAACAATATTATGAGCAGCAGCAGCAGCTTGTGCATGAACAGCAGCAGCAACAGAAAAAGTATGAAGAGCAGCAACAGCAGCACAAACAGCAGCAGCACAAGTATGAGCAGCAGCAACAGCAGCAGCAACAGCAGCAACAGCAGCAGCAGCAACAAGTATATTTATACCCGATGCTGCAGCTGCAGCACAAGATTGCGTAATCTCGTTGCTTCTTCCTCTGGTGTCTCCTTGTCTCCTCTTGCTGCTGCTGGCTGCAGCAGCTGCTGCGGAGACAGCGGAGGCTGCTGCTGCTGCTGCAGTGTCTCCATTAAGGCAGGAGAAGCAAGGGGGGCACCCTTCCCGTCACAATCCCCTGCACACAAACCCTAAACTCTAAACCCTAAACCCTCAATCCCAAACCCTAAACCCTCAACGCTAAACCCCAAAGCATACAAAAACCCTAAACCCTAAACCCTAAACCCTAACCTATAGGCACAAGAACTTGATTAACAACAATATTGCTGCAATCTATTTCTTGTTTAGCTAATTCTTGTACCAAATCATAAACCCCAAACCCTAAACCCTAAACCCCAAACCCTAAACCCTAAACCCTAAACCCTAACCTATAGGCATAAGAACTTGATTAACAACAATATTGCTGCAATCTATTCCTTGTTTAGCTAATTCTTGTACAAGTCTTTCTGTCTCAAAAAGAGACAAAAATTCAGGGATACAAACGCATACAAAAGTTGTATGGGTCTGAGAAAAAAAAACGCAAACCCTAAACCCTAAACCCTAAACCCTAAACCCTAAACCCTAAACCCTAAAAAATTAAATCCTAAAAAAAGAATACAGAGGTAATAAGGATAGTGGTTTGTGTATGTATGCAATAAGATATCGTTAAATCATAAACCCTAAACCCTTTTATTGGAGGTAATAAGACAAAAGAAGACACACAATATGAGTAGCTAAAATGTACAATAAACCCTAAACCCTAAACCCTAAACCCTAAACCCTTACCGCATCCTGAAAGGCCTCGCGTACAGATGTTGTGACTGCCCGCAGATGGTGGATTTTATTTGTGAGCTGAAAATACCAAAAAACAACAAATTAGGGTTTAGGGTTTAGGGTTTAGGTTTAGGGTTTAGGGTTTGGAAATTATGGTGCAACATTCTGCATGCAGCAAAATTTGCAACAGAACGCAAACAGCAGCAGCAGCAGCAACAGCAGCAGCAGCAGCAACAGCAGCAGCAGCAGCAACAGCAGTAGGAAAGGGCTTACCTCTTGAGGGTTTGTAGGTTGTGTAGATGCAAGAGAGGTGAATACATCAAGAGCAGCACCTAAACCCTCAGCTAATTCTCCTATTTTCTTCAAACCCTTCTCCAAAACCCTAGGAAACCCTAATAATCTTAATGTGTGTCCTGTTGGTGCTGTATCAAACACTATTGTTGAATAACGCATTGTTTGCACAGACCTGAGGTGCATATACACCCCAAAACCCTAAACCCTAAACCCTCACAAACCCTAAATTCAAAACACAGACCACTCATACGCCCTAAATGCTCAAAGAAACCTTATATAAACCCTTATATACACCCTCATATATAAGCCCTTATATAAAACCTGGTATAAACCCTAAACCCTAAACCCTAAACCCTAATTCTTACTGCATAAGTTCAGCAAAAGAAAGAGCTTCATCTATACCAGGTACAGCATTAATTAATTCAGGAAGAAATTGCATTAAATCTTTTGATTCTTTTCCCTTAAATAATTGAAAATCTGCTGCTTCTTGAGGACGAGAATCTATTTCCTAAAAAAAAAGAAAAAAAAAGGGTTTAGGGTTTAGAGGAGGGTTTAAGAGGGTTTACATAAGGGTTTAAGAGGGTTTAGGGTTAGGGTATATATATAGGTGACAGGGATGAAGGGTTTAGGGTTTTTAATAGGGTTTTACGGTTTTAGGGTTTAGGGTTTCAGGGAAGGGTTTTCGATACAATTTATGAAGGCTAATTAGGGTTTAGGGTTTAGGGTTTAGGGTTTACCATTGCATAAAGATTCTTGTATCCATTGACAAGAGTAGGAGTGCTCGTAAACTTTTGTGTTAATGCGTCGCTTAGGTTATGTGCAGGATCGGTAGATAGTAGCAATACCTGAGGTGTACAGACACCACAAACCCTAAACCCTAAACCCTAAACCATAAAACCCTAAAACCCTAAACCCTAAACCCTAAGTGCGGTGGAGGCGGAGACGGAGAGTTCAAAGAGCAGGAGCGAAGGAGAGCTTGGATTTGCAACAAACTAAATACAAAACCCCCAACTCTTCAAACCCTAAACCCTAAACCCTAAACCCCAAACCCTAAACCCTAAACCCTAAACCCTACAGATTCGCGCGTTTCAGCGAGCTTTGTTGCAATGGCGCAGCTGGTGGTCGTCTTTCCGACGCCGCCCTTTCCTCCTGCAGCACCAAAACCCTAAACCCTAAACCCTAAAACCTAAACCCTAAACCGTAACACTTAAACCCCAGACAAAAAATCACAAACCCTAAACACCAAAAAACAAACCCTAAACCCTTATCCTCGAGCAGAGTAAGTGTACATCCATGCAGATACAACTCCCCGGGAGCAAACCCTAAACCCTAAACCCTAAACCCTAAACCCTAAACCCTCAGACATACCAACGAAGATCCATTTCAAGGAAGGAGTTTCTATTAACTCGCGTAGACTCCCCTCGAGGGGGAACCCGTCGTCTGACATCCCTTAAACCCTAAACCCTAAACCCTACACCCTAAACCCTAGACGCTTAAACGAGAAGGTAGACACTGCTGTCTTACAATTACAGCATATTAAAAGAAAATACAAAAAGTTTTCTAAAAAACAATTTGTTGCTGCTGCTGTTGCTGCTGCATGCAGCAGCAGCGGCAGCAGCCAAAGCAGCAGCAGCAGGAGCGACCGCTTCTGTTGCGGCTGTGGCTCTTACGGCAGCGGCTGTAAACCCTAATCAATAAACCCTAAACCCTAAACCCTAAACCCTAATAATAAGAAAAACCCTAATATAAAGACTGTAACACATTACATGTGTTATTTCGGTCGATCTAAGCCACCAAGTTATCTAAGGGTTTAGGGTTTAGTGTTTAGGGTTTAGGGTTTAGTGTTTAGGGTTTGGGGGCCCTCCACCGCCGACACAACAACCAACCCCAAAGGGTTTGCTGTTGGTGTTTGTTTGTTTATTCATTTTTTCTTTATTACTCATCTATTAAATATGTTTTTTAGGGTTTAGGGTTTAGGGTTTAGGGTTTAGGGGTCATCGGACCCGTATACTGACATCAGCAGCAACCTGCCAGCCTGCGTCTTCCGTTGCTGCAGCAGCAGCAGCAGCAGGCATACAAACAGCAGCACTCTCCTCTCTCAGCAGCAACAGCAACATTGGCAGCAGTAGCAGCAGCAGCGGCAAAGAAGGGAGCAGCAACACCAGTGGCGGGGGCAGCAACCTCAGCAGCAGCACGCACTGCTGCGGCTGCTGCTGTTGTTGCTGTTGTTGCTGCTGCTGCACCTCTGTAGTGAACTTCTGCTGCAGCGAACAGTGCAGGAGCAGCAGCAGCAACAACAGCAGCAGCAGCAGCAGGTGAGCAGCAGCAGCATCAAATGGCAGCGTCTGCAGGTCGTCGTACCCTGGCGCTGATCAACAGCTCCCTGCAGCAGCAGCAGCAGCAGAAGCAGCAGCAGCAGCAGCAGCAAAATGAGAGAGATAAGGATGGTTTCTTAAGACCATCAGCGCTGCGCAAGCGGCGGATAGTAGCAAGAACCCCAGCAGGCAGCAGCAAACCAGCAGCAGCAGCAGCAGCAGCAACACCATCCCCACCAGCAGCAGCAGCAGCAGCAGCAGAGTCTGGTACAGAAGAAGAAGAAGAAGAAGAATACAGCAGCAGCAGCAGCAGCAGCAGCAGCAGCTTTGATAACAGCAGCGATGATGAATTTGAAGAAAACGCATGCAAGAATATTTCTGTTGTGTCTTTGCTGCGGAGGAAGAGGAAGGCTACTGCTGCTGCTGCAGCACGCAGCAGCAGCAGCAGCAGCAAGCTGAAACCGCGGCAGCAGCAGCAGCAGCAACAGCAGGTGCTGCAGCTGGATATTGTACAGCACGGGGGCGAGCAGCAGCAGCAGCGGCAGCAGCAGCATCTGCTGCTGCTGCCAGCAGAAAATGAATTATCTCTGCAGGCAATCCTTAGAGACCCAGCAGCAGCAGCAAGAGAATTCACTAGACGCCTGCAGGCAGCAGCAGCAACAGCAGCAGCAGCAACAGCAGCAGCAACAGCAGCAGCAGCAGATGACGATGATGCGGTGCAGCAAGCTGGCGAATCTCTTACACTTCTTGCTGCGCAGCTGCTGCATCTTCTTGCTAAGGTAGTTGCTGCTGCTGCTGCTTCTTCTTCTTATTCGCTGCTGCTGCTGCTGCTTCTGCTGCCCCTGTTCCAGTACCGTCTAGGGTTTAGGGTTTAGAGATTAGGGTTTAGGGTTTAGGGTTTAGGGTTTGTTGTTTGTGCAGGTGGTTGGTTTGGGTCCTGCTGCTGTGTCTGCGGATACAAAGACAGCCCTCTGCAGCCTCTGCATGCGCCTCCTGCGCAGCAGCAGCAACAGCAGCAGCAGCAGCAGCAGCAGCAACGGCAGCAGCAGCAGCCTTCCCCCTCGGCAACGACAGAGACAGCAGCAGCAACAGCAGCAGCAGAAGCAAGACATCGCCTTGCTGACAGATTTGCTGCTGTCGCTGTCTGCTGCCCCTAAGAACCGCCGCAAGAGCCCGCAGCAACAGCAACAGCAGCAGCAGCAGCAGCAACAGCAGCAGCAGCAGCACTCTGTCCGGCCTACCAACTGCAACGGCATTCGTTTGTTCTTACATTTTGTTGCAGAGGAGGGAGCAATACATGCAGCACCAATAGCAGCAGCAGCAGCAGGAGCAGCAGCAGCAGCAGCAGCAGTAACAGCAGCAGCACCAGCAGCAAACTCTCTTGGTTTGCTGCTGCAGCTGCTGCAGCTGCTCGGTTGCTCCCCAGCTAGACGTCTTAGGCTTGCTGCTACCATTGCAGGTGACCTGCTGCTGCTGTTGCTGCTGTTGCTGCTGCTGCTGTTGCTGTTGCTGCTGTAGTTGCTGCTGCTGTTTGTGCTGCTGTCTTTGCATCATGCTGCTATCTTTTCTGCTGCTGTTGCTGCTGTTGCTGCAGCGTCGGGCATGTTGAGCGGTGCAGCAGCAGCAGCAGCAAATCTGCTGAGGGAGGCTCGTCGTTTCCGTGTGCAGCAGCAGCAGCAGATGCTGCAGCAGCAGCTGCAGCAAAGGAGACAGCGCAAGCAGCAGCAGCAGCAGCAGCACGAAGAAGAATCAACAGCTATAGTTGGTGCTGCAGTGCAGCACCGGCTGCAGCAGCTAGAAGCAGAGGAGACCGCGCTGCAGCAGCTGCTGCAGCAGCAGCTGCTGCTGCTGCAGCAAAGAGCTGATGATGTTTGTCCTAATGTTAGGGCAGAAGCTCTCAAGGCTCTGGTTAGTGCTGCTGCTGCTGCTGCTGCTGCTGCTCTAGGTGCTGCTGCTGGTGCAGCGGTCATAGTTGCTGCTGCTAGTCCTGCTGCTCCAGTTGCTGCTGCTGCTGCTGCTCTAGTTGTTGCTGCTTCTGTTGCTGCTTCTGTTGCTGCAGGTTGCTGGATTGCCTTTTGCTGCTCCCTCGTTGGTCTTGAGGAAGGAGACCTTTTTGCTGCTGCTGCCTGCCCTGCAGCAGCAGCAGCAGCAGCAGCAGCAGCACGAACAGCAGCAGCAGCAGCAGCAGAACCGGGACGAGATGCTGGCAGCTTTGGGGCTTTTTCATTTAGCAACGCATGCAGTGTGTGATTATGCAGAGCAGCATGCGCTCCTTGGCACAGCAGCAACAGCAGCAGCATCAGGAACAGCAGCAGCAGCAGCAGATCAGCAGCAGCATATATCAGCAGCAGCAGCAGAGGACTGCAACGAATTCATACAAATAGCCCTTCCTCTTGTGCTGCTGCAGACAGCAGCAGCAGATCCTGTTCTTGCTGCTGCTGCTCTTCGTTGTCTCCTTCCTTTTGCTGCAGCAACTGCTGCTGCAGCACAGCAGGAGCAGCAGCAGACCGACCAACAGCGGCAGGAGCAGCAGCAGCAGCAGCAGGTGCTGCCGCTGCTGCAGGACGCAGCAGTACGGCAGCTACTAGAAGTCTTCTGGACTGCAGCAGACACAGCAGTAATAGAAGCAGCAGCAGCAGTTGTTGGCTCGCTGCTGCTGCCTCCTGCTGTTGCTGCTCGATGCTGTGCCCCGTAAGTGCTGCTGCTGTTGCTGCTGCTGCCGCTATTGCTGCTGTTGTTGTTGCTGCTGGTGCTTCTGCAGCTGTTGCTGCAGCGCGAGCTTAAACTCTTTCTTTGTTGGCTGCTGCGATCATGTGTGCTGCAGCAGCAACAGCAGCAGCAGCAGCAGCAGCAGCAGCACAGCAGAGCTGCATGCATTGTTGGATTTCTGTGTGGCGTATCTACCCAAGACAGATTTCTTAAGCAGCAGCAGCAACAGCAAGAACAGCAGCAGCAGCAGCAACAGCAGCAACAGCAGCAGCAGCAGCAGCGAATCCTGCCTGGCCTATCCGCTAGCAGCAAATGTTGTGATTGGCTTTTGGGATTTGCTGCCGTCTGTTAGAAGAGTTGATTTGCTGCTGCAGCTGCTGCAGCAGCAGCAGCAACAGCAGCAGCAGCAGCAAATAGATGATGATCTCCTTACTGAGGAGCAGCAAACTCTTCTTCTTGCCTTCTGCTGCGCTGCTATGAAGAAACTCAATTGGAGCAGCGGCTTGTGGGGCTGCAGCAGCAGCAGCAGCGACAGCAGCAGCAGCAGCAGCAGCAACCATCCAAGCACACATCAGCAACAGCAGCAACTCAGCAGCAGCAGCAGCAATTGCTGCTGCCCTGCTCAGCTGCAGCTTTGCTGCAGCACATCAAAGCCATCAATAAGCAGTCGTATTGCTGCTGCCTCTTGGCCTGTGCTGTTGCAGCAGCAGCAGCAACAGCAGCAGCAACAGCAGCAGCAGCAGCAGCAGCAGCAGAGGAGGATGGCGGTTGATTTCGTGCAGCGTGTCTTTGAGGCCCTCCCTCAACTATATGAACATGTTGCCGTAAGATTGTGCTGCTGCTGCTGCCGCTGCTGCTGCTGCTGCTGCTATTCCTGTTGCTGCTGCTGCTGCTCTTGTTGTTGCTGTTGCTGTTGTTGTTGTTGCTGCTGCTGCTGGCTCTGCTACTGCAGCGCAGCTTCTTTAGGTTGTGTTTGTTTTTTGCTGCAGAGGAAGCAAAAACTGCAGCAG